AAAAAAAAAAAAAAAATTAAAAATGTCTTACGTATGTATGCCTATGTAAGTTCGCACCTTACATAAGCGGCAGTCCCCTTCCAGACTCTTGCGCTTAATTGCAGACATTTGCAGGCTGCAATTTGCAGTCACCACACACCAAACACAACCGACCATGTGTGAAGTCAGGATTGGAAGTTGGAATCGGAAGTCAGGAGATGGTGGGAAAGGGTAAGTTTGCGGTGCACTTTTTCCCAACTTCCGGCCTGACTTCTGACCGATTCCAACTTCTGGGTCCATCTTGTATCGGCAGAAGTTTGCCACTTGAAAGTTCATATCTAGGGGACTTTCTGTATATGTTTCTCTATTTAATTTCCTTCTTAAATTACCTAACTCTGAAGCCATGGGGATAACATCTGGCTAAGTATTCCCTGACAGAAATCCGTACTGTTCGGAGAGGTTCTGCTTAAGTTCAGAAGCTCCTGGAAATCAGTCAAGCCAAAATGGTGGGTGAAGCGGGAGAAGGTCAGCAAAAACATCCTTGAAAAAGGAACACATTTTCCAAAATGCATTAGGCCAAATAAAAACCATTTCACTGGCATTTGGGATTCCTCTCTCTCTCCAGGACCAGAACCAGAACCCCCACGCCCCAATCTCTACCATGTACAATACATCATTTTTATAACTCTACATCAGATGTGTGAAGTTTGAGGGCCTTCCAGAAACCTTCGCCAGCCATTCTAGCCCACTGCAGGGCACTATAATCACCAACATGGGTGTTTTTCTGTATCATCTCTTCTGCCATCAACAGCCACTAATTTTGTGAACTAAAAACTGAGATGCAGATGATTCTTGGAGGAAAGATGGTCCAACTCGTGGTCCATTCTTGGCTGGTGTCTCCTCTTACACTGTTGAGAAACTTAAAGCCCATTTAAAAGTTGAGGGAGCAAAGGGAACTTATGTGGTTCTTTTAAGACAATTTCTAGTTACCAATCTTGATTATAAAAAATGTAGCGTGTTCAAATTCCCTACCTGCTTATTCCTTCAGCCTACTGGCCTACTGAGCAATATAATAATTAGAGGTGTACAAAATCTTGAGTTCAAAAAGTCTTTTTAACTCCCAAACTTTAAAAAGAAACAAACAAAAATTATGTTCTGGAGTTTTGTCCCAAGCTAGGAATAAAATGAGTGCTGCATTTTATATGGCTCATTTATTTATTTAGAACATTTATACGGCTGCTCATCTTCAATGCATACTTCTGGATACCTCACGACCAATTAAAAAAATTACCCCCATAATCAAACAAAAGAATCCAATACAAAAGAAAATGGAGGCACCATATAACAATTCACAAACGGACACACATACAAACATCCCGGTCCTTTAACACCTGGGAAAAATGCCAGGTTTTAATGGCCTTTTGGAAGAGCCAGAGGATCAGGGCCCTTCAAATCTCAGGAAGTTGTGTGTGTACTACAACAGGATTTAAAAACTATCTAGGGTCACAAAAGGAGGATGGCAGATGGCTGTCCATGCTGAGTACTCCCTACCACCCACTTACAAAATAATTAACCAAGAGGATTATTTAAAAAAAAAAATTCCCATAGCTAATATTGAAAGTGGCAGTTAAACGAAAGAATGGCTTTTCAGCCTGTCTGTACAATTTTGAAGCATACCATTGGACAACTGCTGTTCCTGATAAAACACTGGTATTTACAGGAGGGGTGATAGCGTGCCCAAGCTAGATGGCAAGAGTTTTGAGGGTCTCAATAGTAAAATCCTGGAGGAAAAGATCCCTGATTCTCCGTGTGTGTGTGTGTTTTCCTGTTGTCTGCAACTCAAAAATGCAGAACCACAACCTAGGGTGCATTTACCAGGCTGTGATTCCACATTTCGAGGTTAAGATGACCACGGGTGCATTGCTAAAGTACAGTCCTAAAGAACTGCCAAGGAGGCACAGAGACTCCAGGCTCCCCTCGAAAAGATCCAGACGTGTGAAAGCATTTTGTCCTTTACAACAGAGGCAGCCAGCCATGCTCAGAATTATGCGCAACGCCCAGAGGCCCATTCTTTTGGCGGGTAACTGATTGGCTCAGCAGATTTGGGTCTTGGTGTGTGTGTGTGTGTATGTGTGTGTGTGTGACTGTGGCTAAACCTTCACCTTTGCTGAGTATTTTTCCTCATGCCCCAGGGTTGCATTATTGATCGACTTACTTTAAAAAGTAATATTAGACAGGACTCCACAGTGAATTTGAAACAAAGCCAAGAGACCCATTTAGTCAATAAGGCGTCCCTGCAGATGGACGGGTGCGGCTCCAGTAAGAAATGGAAACGGAAACTCTGGCTATATAAAGAAAGCGCACACACGCACACACACACACTTCCCCAGGACTGAGGAACTATTTCACCTCTCCCACTTCCTCCTCCAGAGAAGGCCTAAATTCCTCTACATCTAGCCTTTTATCAGTCTGAGATGTTCTTGAAAAGCTAAGCAAGGTCAGGCTGGAGAGTTCTTGGATGGGAGACCACCAGGAAATCCCAACTTAGAGTGAGAACTCACAAGAGTGTCCCAGGAAGCAGTACAGAGAAACCACTTTTGTCCTGTTGCCAAGCAAACCGCAAGGAGTCCCCAAGAGCCCAACTCCGCTGGGAGATTTCGTTTTTTCATCACAGAAGCTTTGATGACTCTGGGCCACTCTGAACATTTCTGGCGAGGGGATGTGGGCTATGAAGCCTGCGGCTTTGTCCGTGGGTTGGGGAAGGATTTTTTGAAGAATTCTTTTCAACGCAACGGGGGGAAAGAAGTTATATTAAGGGGGCTGGGATTCTGCCTGCTTGCCTGCCTGATGCTCTGAAAAAAGCTGGTGCTGGGGGAGAAGCTGGCAAAAGGAAGAGGCCGCTTGGAAATGGGTCGAGTCTGGCCCAGGGCAGCGGAGTGCGCCCACATGCCCAGATGCCACCTGATGACGCAGACGCCTCCCACGGCTGTGGCTGGTAAACGGGGCTGGAAGAATTCCAGAAGGCGAGCTCCGCGCTCTTCCCCTTCCCTTCCTTGGGATTCTCTCCAACCCAACAGCGCTGTGGACAGAAGCCGGGCTTGGGACCCCGTCCGTCTCTCTGTCCACCCGTCCGTCAGCGGGGCAAGGCCGGAAACTAAGCAGGTCGAGTTTGAAAAGGAACCAGATCCAGCCAGGGGCTGCAGAGAGAATCATCTTGGAAACAGTACCGTAATGCGTCCCCGCGGGAGGGGCTGCGGCTCAGGATGCTGCTGCCCCCTCCATTCTGAGCCCCCTCCCTCCCTCCC